TTTATTGATGTCAGCCATTCTGAAGGGTGTAAGAGGAAATCTCAATGTAGTTTTGGTTTTCATTTCCTTGGTGACTAAGGATGTTGAACTATTCTTTGACTGTTTCTCAGTCATTTGAGTTTCCTCCCTTGAGAATTCCATGTTTAAATCTGTTCCCTATTTTTAAATTGGGTTATTTGCTTTCTTGATATAAAGTTTACTGAGTTCTTTATTGGATTTTAGCCCTCTATCAGATTTAAAGTTGATAAAAGTATTTTCTCATTGTGTAGACTGCCACTTTGTCCAAATGATTGTGCCCTTTACCATGTAGAAGCTTTTCAGTTTCATGAGGTATCATTTATTAATTGATTGTAGTATCAGCACTAATGGTGTTCTGTTCAAAATGCTTTTTTCTGTGTCAAGGAGTTCAACACTATTCACTTTCTCTTCTATCAGGTTCAATGTATCTGACTTTCTGTTGAGGTCTTTGGTACATTTGGAGTTGAGTTTTGTGCAGGGTAATGAGTGTGGATCTATTTGGATTCTTCTACATGCAGACATCCAGTTTTACCAACACCATTTATTGAAGACGTTATTCCCCCCCCCCCCCACCCCAGGCTGTGTCTATGGTTTTTTTTATAAAAAAAAAAAAAAAACAGGTTACCATAGGTGTGTGGATTTATGTCTGGACCTTCGATTTGATTCCATTCATAAACATACCTGATTTTGTGCCAGTACCACATTGTTTCTATTGTTATAGCTCTGTGGTACAATTTGAAGCTGGGTATGGTGACTCAAGATTGTTTTAGCTATCGTGTGTGTGTGTGTGTGTGTGTGTGTGTGTGTGTGTTTCCATATGAAGCTAAAAATTGTCCTTTCAAGATCTGTGAAGAATTGTGGTGGAATTTTGATGAAGATTGCATTGAATCTGTATACTGTATTTGATAGGATGGCCATTTTTACTATATTAATACTACCTATCCACGATCACAGAAGATCTTTCCATGTGGTATCTTCTTCAATTTTTATCTTCAGTGTCTTAAATTTTTTATTATGCAAGCCTTTCATTTGCTTGTTTAAAGATAACTCTCCAAACATTTCAAATTATTTGATGCTATTGTGAAAGGTGTTGTTCCCCTCATTTCTGGAATGAAGTCTTCTTGATCATGGTAGAGAGACTTTTTTTGACTGCTTCTATTTCACTAGGGGTTATTAGTCTGTTTAAATTGCTTACATAATCTTTTTTAAAAGTTTGTTAAGTGGTATGTATCAATAAACTTATTCATTTCTTTTAGATTTTCCAATTTTGTGGAGTGTAGCTTTTTAAAGTATGACCTAATGATTCTTTGGATTTCCTCAGTTTCTGTTGTTACTTCCCTTTTTCGTTTCTGATTTTGTTAATTTGGATATTTGATCTCTGTCTTTTACCTAGTTTGGATAAGGGTTTGTCTATCTTGTTCACTCTCTCAAAGAACCAACTCTGTTTCACTGATTCTTTGTATTGTTCTCTTTGTTTCTACTTTATTGGTTTTCAGTCCTCAGTTTGATTATGTCTTGCTGTCTACTCCTCTTAGGTGTGGTCACTTCTTTTTGTTCTAACTTTCAATTGTGCTGTGATCTCTCCAATTTTTTATGTAGACACTTAGTATGATGAGCTCGCCTTTTAGAAATACCTTCATTATGTAGAAATACCTTCATTGATTTCTTTATTAATTTCTGTCTTGACCCTTTGTTTCACTCAGTAGTGAGTTGTTCAGTTTCCATGAGTTTGTAAACTTTCTGTTGTTTCTGTCATTGTTGAGATCCAGCTTCTATCCATGGTGGTCGCAAAGGATGCAGGGTGTTATTTCAATTTTTTTGTATCTTTTGAGACTTGTTTTATGTCCAAGTATGTCATTAATTTCAGAGAAAGTTCCATGAGATTCTGAGAAGAAGATATATTCTTTTGTGTCTGTATAAAATGCTGTGTAAATATGTTAGGTCCATTTGATTTATAACACCAGTTACTTCCAGCATTTTACTGTTCAATTTTTTTTATCTGGATGACCAGTTTATTGGCATTTGCAGGGTCTTTAAGTCTCCCACTCTCAGTTTGTGAGTATTAATATGTAAATTAAGTTGAAGTATTTTTTCATGAACTTGTGTACCCTGTGTTTGATGTATAGATGTTAAGAATTGCAATGTCTTCTTGTTGGATATTTTTGTTTATGAGTACTATATAGTGTCCTTCCCTATCACTTCTGATTAGTTTTGGTGTTGCCTATTTTGTCATATATTAAAATGACTACCACAGCTTGTTTCTTAGGACCATTTGCTTCTAACATCCTTCTTCCATCATTTTAACCCAAGGTGCTATTAAAGTGTATTTCTTAGATACAGCAGAAGCATGGATACTGTTCTTATATCTATTCTGTTATTCTATGTCTTTTTGTTGGGAGAGTTGAGACTACTGATGCTGAGCGTTATCATTGAGCAGTGTTTGTTGATTCCTATTGTGACTGTTGTTGTTTTGCTGTGGTGGTAGTGGTGTGTGTGTGTATGTGTGTGTGTATGTGTGTGTGTGTGTGTGTGTGTGTGTGTGTGTGTGTGTGTGTGTGTGTGTGTGTGTATTTCCCCTCTTGATTTATTGGTCTGGGATTATTTATTTCTTGTACTTTCTTAGGTATTGTAACCACTTTGCTTAATGTTTTCCTTCTGGTGCCTTCTGTAGAGCTGGTTTTGCAGGGCTTTATCATGGAATGGTTTATTTCTCCATCTACTGTGATTCAGTTTTGCTGGGTGTATATGGGTTGGTATCTGTGGTGTCTCAGAGTTTGTAGAACATCTGCCTGGGCCCTTTGGCTTTTAGAGTCTCATTGACAAGTCAGGAGATATTCTAATAAGTCTGTCTTTATATGTAACTTGGTCTTTTCCCCCTTGTAGCTTTTAGTAATCTTTTTTCTTTTTGTTCTGTACATTTAGTATTTTGATTATTCTGTGTAGAGGGGAGTTTCTGTCCTGCTTCAGTCTATTTGGTGTTCCGTATGTGTCTTGTATCTTGATCTTACATCTCTTTCTTTAGGTTAGGGAAATTTCCTTCAAAGATTTTGTTGAAAATATTTTCTGTGCCTTTGACCTGAGTTTCTTCTCTTTCGTCTATTCCTTTTACTCTTAGATTTACTCTTTTTTTTTTTTAGGGTACCACATTTTCTCAATGTTTTGTGTTAGTATTTTTTTAGATTTAACCTTTTCTTTCTTCTATCATGTATTCAATCTTTAATTCCTGGGATCTTCTCTTCCATCTCTTGCATTCTGTTAGTGAGACTTGTCTCTGAGTTTCCTGTTTGAGTTCCTAAATTTTTCGCTTCCATATTTCCCTCAGTTTGGGTTTTCCTTATTGATTCTCTTTCCACTTCAGGTCTTAAACTGTTTTATTAGTTTTCTTTCACTGTTTGCTTGTGTTTTCATAGATTTCTTTAAATAATTCATTCATTTCCTCTTTAAGGAAATCTATCATATTAAAAAAGCTATTTTAAGGTTTTTATCTTGCACTTCAGCTATATTGCAATTCTCAGGCCCTACTCTGGTAGGTTGCTGGGATCTAGTGGACACATGCTATCCTGGATATCATTGACTGTGTTTTTACACTGGTTGTCTAGGCATGTGTGTTTGGAAGACTGTAATTCTAGTATCTGATCTTTGTTGGGTAGGTGCTTTGTTCCTTGGCTTCTGTTGACATCTCTGGTTCTACTGAGAGTGTGGTGGCTATGTGTTGTCTCACTGAAAATTCTTCTGGAATCCTGATAGCTGTGGCAACCAGGAGTTTGAGGTAAAATGTGTTTCTAGGTATTGGGAACTTACACTCAGGAATGGGCTAGGAGGCAGGGCTAAGGGGATCCATAAGAGGGAAGAAAGTGGGGTGTTGCACCACCATCTGCTTAGTCTCCTGGGGACTTGGGCAGAGAGAAAGAAGCAGTTGCAGCAGGCATACTTGGGGATGAGACGGGGGATTGGATTTGGAGGAGAGGAGAAAGACGTGAAGATCTGCAGTTAACCTACCTTCATCCCTGGCCAATGTCTCACAATATTCTTTCAATCCCTGAACATGGACTGTCTTATCATCTCTGGTTGCTTCTTTAATTTTTTTTTTTAGGGCTGTTAAAATTTCATTGTTTGTGTCTTCTAATCCCTTGATTAGGTTTATTAGTAGTTATTTAGGAGGAGGCAAAGTGAATGTGAGTGTTTTTTTTTAAATTTCTTTCTAAGTATTCATTATTTCTATTAGAAAATATACTCATTTAAACTGTTAATGTATTCATACATATGTGTCTATAGAGGCCTGAATTGGGTTTTGGAAATCCTGGAGCTGTAATTACTGGTGATTGTGAACTATAGAACAGAACTCTGGTCCTCTGTATGAAAACAAGCACTCTTCACTGCTAAGCCATATCTTCCTCACAAGAAAAGTTAATCATTACTATAGGTTGCATTTGTATCCTGAAAATTATTAAAAAGTCTTTATTAAGTTAAATAGTTTTGTGATGAGTATTTAGGCTTTTTAAAGTATATAAGTATATAATAAGCAAAAAGGGCTAAGCTGATTTCTACCTTTCTATTTTATCCTTTTTCTAGTGTTTCTTAACTTACTCCTTTGTCTAAGAATTCCAACACTAGATTTGAAAGAACGGTCATTCCTATTCCCGATTTTAGGAGATGCCTCAGATTTCTCCTCACTATTTTTATACCAGCTATAAATTTGTCCTGTATATCTTTAATCATGTTGAGGTCTATTTATTCTAGGTCTAATTTCTCAAAGGAATTTTATTATGAAGTGATATTGACTATCACTTTAAAGGGCATATTCTATTTCCATTTAGATAGTCACATGGTTTCCCCACTTTAAGCTTGATATTTGCTGTATTACATTTATTGGCTTGCTTATGCTGAACCATATTTCCATCTGTGGAATGAAAATGACTTGGTCATGGTGTCGATTTTTAGAAACTGTTCAGTGTTCGCAGCTGTTGCCGCGCTGCCGCCGCTCCCTAACGCCAGCGCTGCCTCTCGCTTGCAGAGCTCCAGCCGAAGGAGAAGGGGGGTAAGTAAGGAGGTGTCCATACCATGGCTGGTACAAAGCAGACTGCCCGCAAATCCACCGGTGGTAAAGCACCCAGGAAGCGACTGGCTACTAAAGCCGCTCACAAGAGTGCGCCCTCTACTGGAGGGGTGAAGAAACCTCATCGTTACAGGCCTGGTACTGTGGCACTCGGTGAAATCAGACGTTATCAGAAGTCCACTGAACTTCTGATTTGCAAGCTCCCCTTCCAGCGTCTGGTGCGAGAAATTGCTCAGGACTTCAAAACAGATCTACGCTTCCAGAGTGCGGCTATTGGTGCTTTGCAGGAGGCAAGTGAGGCCTATCTGGATGGCCTTTTTGAAGATACTAACCTGTGTGCTATCCATGCCAAATGTGTAACAATTATGCCAAAAGATATCCAGCTAGCACGCCGCACACGCTGAGAATGTGCTTAAGCGTCCACTATGAGGGGAAACATTTCATTCTCAAAAAATTTTTTCCTCTTCTTCCTGTTATCAGTAGTTCTGAATGTGAGATATTTTTTTCCATGGGGTCAAGAGGTACCTAAATATATGATTGCGAATGGAAAAATAGGGCACAGAAATCAGGTATTGGCAGTTTTTCCATTTTCATTTGTGTGTGAATTTTTAATATAAATGCAAGATGTGAAGCATTGATGAAAGCAAAATGTTTCAGTGAACACATTTCAACAGTTCAACTTTATAACAATTATATATAAACTTGTTCAAATTTTCTGGACAATGCCAGCATTTGGGTTTTTTAAAAATAAGTAAATTTCGTATTGACAGCAACTAAACGGGGTTTGCAGCATTTTTATCATACAGTAGATTCCATCCATTCACTATACTTTTCTGAGTTGTCCTACATGCAAGTACATGTTTTCAGTGTTGTCTGTCTTCTGTGCTGTTCCTATAAGTTTGCTATTAAAATACATTAAACTATAAAAAAACGAAATTGTGGCCGGGCGGTGGTGGCGCACGCCTTTAATCCCAGCACTCGGGAGGCAGAGCCAGGCGGATCTCTGTGAGTTCGAGGCCAGCCTGGGCTACCAAGTGAGTTCCAGGAGAGGTGCAAAGCTACACAGAGAAACCCTGTCTCGAAAAAACCAAAAAAAAAAAAAACAAAAACAAAAACAACAACAACAAAAAAAACAAAAACGAAATTGTGTTCACTTTGATTTGTAAATATTTTATTGGGGAATTTTGCATTGTATTTATTATGGTGGTTGGTCTTTAGTTCTCTGTTGAATAAGACTTACTTCACTGAATGAGTTTTACAGCATTTACCCCTTTACATTTGTAAAATAATTTGTGAAACGTTGTTTTGCTCAACTCTTGTTACTTTCCTGTAGGGCTTTGTAGACAACTGTTCAATTGTCTTCCCCCAAATTTCACCAATTTATGTTTCCATCAGCAACCTCATGAATACAACAATGCTCTATAAAAGAATTTTCATTCACTCATGAGTATTAAATTATGTAGGAGAGTGAGTGAAGAGGAATCTGAGATGTTAAACCAGATAAAGCTTTTCCTGGTGGAGTGAATTATAGATTAATGAATCACTTGGTAAAGCATAGCTTTGAAAGTTCTTGACTTCTTTATGCACTGATTTTATATGTATAGTGCATGAATAAAATTTGAGTTAGGTAGAATACTAAACTGTCACATGTTAGTAGTATATCCACCATGTCCCAAGTCATACAGATATGCAAATGATACCATTGCCTTGTAAATGAGATAACTAAGAAACTGAAAAATTCTATGGTGAGTATTATTTTACGCCCAGGCATACTATAGAAACAAAGTTTATAAAGCATATTTAGTCTGGTGGTGAATTTTAAACTCAGCCTCCTACTCGGTGTTCACAATAATTCTATGATGTGGTGTGTGTGTGTGTGTGTGTGTGTGTGTGTGTGTGTGTGTGTGTGTGTATGCTCTAGATAGAAAACATAGGCTCAATTATTTCTCCTCATATTGTACACTATGTGACACTATGGAATTTTATTGTTTCTAAATATTCTCCTCAAATTGAAAAGGATAATCATGGATATTATTCACCTCATAGAGCTGGAGAGATCAAGTGAGATGATTTTTCTATAGAGTACACATTCATAAACATAGTATTTTTAATATTTAAATGTTTTAATTTTCATTTTAATTTTCCATATTGAAACTTAAAGGTCAGAAAAGCCAAGCAGCTTGTTCCAGGTGGTAAGATCACATAAAAACAGTGGGATGGCTTTGAGCTCAGGTTTACATTAGAACTTATTCTGCTCCTTGTTCCACAGTGAAAATTATGTTAACACTTAAAAAATTCACTTTTTATTTTTGAGGATATAATATAATATAATATAATATAATATAATATAATATAATAACTAGATCATTTCCTCTATCCTTCCTTTCTCCAGACCCTCCTGTATAGCCTTTACTTTCTTTTAAAACTATGGCTTCTTTTTACATTAATTGTTGTTAATGTAAATATATATATATATATTCATAAATATATAAATATACCCTGCTCTGTCTGTATGTAACTTGTGTAAATGTTTTCAGGGATGACCATTTGGTCTTGGATAATCAACTGGCATGCCTTTCCCTGGGGAAGACTATATCTTCCACTCTCTGTAGTTCTTATTGTGTCTAATTCTTTGTATAGGGTCAAGGTCTCCTGGGCTTGACAACCTCCCATTTGGCACTACTGTTGTCCTTGTTCAGCTCATATTTAGGCAGTCATATTGGTGAGACTTTATGAGTATAGATTCTGACATTGTTATGAGTCACAACCTCACAACAAACTCCATGATCATCTGACTCTTACTGTCTGCCCCTCTCTTTTACAGTGACCCCCCCAAGTTTTAGGTACAGACATATCTATAATTGTAGATATATCCATTGGAACTGGGCTCTACAACTCTGCATTTTGATTTGTTCTGTTTTTTTTTGTCTGTTACGAAAAAAGTTGCCTTGATGAAGGATGAGAATTACTATTATCTGTGGGCTTAAGGACAAATATTTCAAGTGTAGCTAGGGATGATAATAAAATGGTGTTTATAGGTTCTCCTCCAAGATCTACTGTTTCAGTAGCCCTGGGTAGTTGGTTAGGTTTACAGCACTAGGCAGACTTCCCTCTTATTTATTAGGTCCATTTAGAGAGTTGTTGATATGTAACCTTTGAAAATATGACATTAGCATTCTCAGGAAGGAAGCATCTAGGTGTTGAACATGTTTTTACACTAACTTTGTGAGCATTTATTGAACATGTATTTGGTGGAAGACACTTTATAGGAATTGTATTGGAGATCAACTAATGTAAGAGAGCAATTGAAACAGCAGAACACAAACAATCACACACACACACACACACACACACACACACACACACACTAATAGCAGATAAGAGACAAAGATACCACCTGCCACTTCAATTCTGTGGGATTCTAAAAGTCCTAATATCCATCAGGCAGTGAGGCTGGAGAGATAATTCAATAGGTAATAGCTTTTGCTCTTCCAAGGAACCTGTGTTTGGTTCCCAGCACCTTGGAAGAGCAAAAGCTATTAATCATTGAATCATCTCTCTAGACCTACTGCCTAATGGATGTTAAGACTTTTAGAATCCCACAGAATTAAAGTGACAGGTGGTATCTTTGTCTCTTATCTGATGTTAGAGGAAAAGTTTCAACTTTCAGATTAAGAAAATGCTGGCTATTGGGTTTCTGTGTCCTATATGGCCTTCGTTATATTGAACTGCATTCCTTCTACACCTAATTTGCTAAGAGTCTTTCTAATTAGTTCTTTTGTTGTTGTTATTAAACTGTTTTCCTGTATGTAATGAAATCATGATTATTTTTACTCTTACTTGCTAGCTCTTGTTGATCTATACTTGATTGTACTTAACCATGGCAAAAGACGCTTTTAATAGGTGATTTCCTTTGTTTTCTGTTAATAGTAACTTTGAATAATTTTGCATGTATGTTCACTAGAGATGCTGACATGTAATTTTCTTTTCTTGACGTGCCATGTTACTGTCATATGAGTAGTTCTAGTCTTACAATATGATTTTGAGAATGTTCCCTTTGTTTTCAGTTTTTTTTTAAGGGGGCAAGTTTGCAAATGGCTGGAATTCATTTTTTAATTATTTGACTGAGTTCATGCATGGAATCATCTGGTTCTAGGCTATTCTGTTTTTTGTAGGATTTTGATTGCTAGTTCCAGATCCTCATTTTCTGTCCTTTCAAATGCTCTATTGTCCATGGTTCAGTCTTGGTAGGTCGTTATGTTTCTTGTAATTTACCCATTTCTTTCATTCTGTGGTAAATTATTTGTAACGGTCATAGGGTTATTTGTTCTTATGCTTTCAGTTATAATTTCTTTTCTTTCTTTTATGATTGTATTCATTGAAGTCCTCCTTTTCTTGATTACCTTAGACTTTTGTCAAATTCATTGATCTATTAAAAATCTTCAGCTTCATCAGTCTTATTGTCTCATTTGTTTTAATTATTTCTGCTCTGATATTTATTATTTAGGTGCCTCTACTGATTTTGTGAATAATTGCTCTTCTTTTATCTAGCCAAGTGAAGAATAAAGCCAGGCTGAATGTTTGAGATTTTTAATGTACGCATTTATTGCTGTAAATTTTTCTCAGAGATACTTCTGCTGAATCCCATGTCTTGTATTGTATTAGCTTTTTCATCTGTCTCAATACATTCTTTCATTTCTTTTCCTCTTCATTTCTCTTTGAACCATTGGTCTTTCCAGAGTTTATCTTTTCATTTTCATGGATTGTGAATTGTTTGATTGTCTTGAGTTATTGAATTAAGCTTTATACAAATGTGGTCAGAAAAGATGCTTAGTAAGATTTAATTATGTTCAAAGTAGTTAATATTCATTTTGGAATTTATTATCTATTGTGGCGATTGTTGTTTGTTGACTGTGGAAGAATCTATTTTTTCTGCTTTGGATGGAACATTCTATATGAATCTTTTAGGCCCATCTTGTCTTCAGCATTATTAAAATTCTCACTTTATTTTATGTCTGGATGATGTATCAGTTGTGGAAAGCAAGGCACCAAAGACCCCTATCATTACTATACCATTCCTTTCACTACTGCATTATGTTAATATTTGATTCACATACTGAGGTTCTTAGATGCTGGATGCATACATGAACACACATCTTCTGATGAATTGACATCTTTATCATTATTCAGTGTCTCTCATTGATTCTGTGACAGATCTTGACTGAAATTTTTTTCAAGTACAGCCATCCTTACTCTCTACCACTATTTCTACAGAATATATTTTCTCATATTTTTATTTTGAGATTATATGTTAAGGTGAAAATGAGTTTCCCATAGATAGGATCAATTTTTATTGCATCTCAATGTTTTGTTGTTTTAAATACATTTAACATTTTATATCTTT